TTGCTCCAATATCAAGGCCCAGCAGGCAGTGTTCCCTCTAAGCTGAGTTCGTGTGAGCCAGCTCACAGTTTTTTAGCCTCCGGCTAACCCATTTTTGTCTTGAGTTCAGGACGGATGGCTCCAGAGCAAACTAATTTATGCAGAAGCCCAATCGCTCGCTGACGACTTTCGTGCCAGCAGCTCACAAAGTAGATTTTTTGCTCACGAGACTCCACAACTTAGAGGGAACATTGCCAGCAGGTGACAGTGTAAGGGTCCAGTGACAGTGGGAGGGGCCCCCCCCCCCCGAGCTTGTGCAGGGTGCATTTCCTGCTTTAACATGCATCCTGTGCTGCTGCGGCTTCAGCAGAACCCTTCTCCATTTCCTTCAACCCTTCCCCCGGACCGTAGGTTTGGAAATAGAACACTGGAGCAAACAATGATCGGATGACGGCATAACGGCCGATGATCTGAAATGTAGGAGTAGGCAGCCTTCCGCTGGTTCTTCGCCGATTGCAGAAGGGGTTTCTCGCACCCGCTCAGGATTCGTCTGTCTCTGAAGAAAACAATTCCCCTCACCTAGAAATGTAGCACCTCAGGGAAAAGCCTGCGTCCTCACGCCCTTGTTCTCTGTACACAAGAATTTTTTTTTTAATGGAGCATTCATTTTTGCCACCAGCTGTAAAGTGAAATGGTATAGCCCCGATCTCCGTGGACTGCTGCAGTCATAATGCATGGGGGAGGCCCTGTGCCCATGCACAGCTGTGTACTAGCAATGCACAAGTATATTGTGCCTGCCGCTTGGGGTGGGCCTTTTGAGTTTCCGTCTTCTTGGTGCCCTTTGAAGTGCAGTGTTTGTCGTTCCGTGGAGTGCACCCGGATGCATGGTGTGGTTCCTTGTGGTGTGATCTGCACAATCTTGGAAGGTTACCCGTGCCATTGTATGTGTTTGTGTGTTCCAGTCCTTTTCATGGCCGTCAGTTTACCAGTGATGTAATTTGTGTGCCTGCTGTGTTGTGAACACCAGGTGTGTTGCATCGGCTGTGGCAGAGTGTGTTGTGTTGTGTTGGCGCAGTGAACGTCGTTTTTGGTGTGGCGTGATGTCTGGCAACGCAGCAGCTCAGCATTTGGGGGTGTGGTCTTCACGTTGTGTGGCCTGGGGTGGTGGTTGTGTTAGTGGCCTGCAGGGTGTTCCTCGTTGGATGGTGTGGGTGTCTGCGTTTGGATCCGTGCTGTGTGAACCAGGGGCATGTGGGCATGTGGAGACGTGGGCTGGCCCTCATCCTGCATTCACACAAACACACGCGCGCACACGCACAGGCCGGCATACACCTTTCACCCCCTCATCATCAGCGCCCCGATATCCAAGGCGCACACGCACTGTCTCTGTGCCATTCCGCCCCTAGAAAAGCTTAGATTCTGAGGTTTGCATACGTTGTAATGCCTATTTGCATATACGTGTTTGTTGTGCATGATTCTGTTTATGCGCGTTGTGGGGAAGTGCTGTGCATGATTTTCTGCAATCTATCCCAGCTTCTGAAATTTCAGCGGGCCCTGCCTATGCGTTTGGAAGCTTCCCCGAAGGACTAGAAGCTTGCTTCTTCTTTTTTTAAAAATGAGATTTCGGAGACTCCATGCTCCTGGCACATGAGTGCAGAGTGTGCTTGTTCCTGGACCCACCCCCCTTTCGAGCAAGGCTGAAGTTGTCCGAACTTGGTCCCCAAATGACAAGCGGATGACAGACAGCTGGCGACAGAACCGTGCTCCTGCCGGATGCGTGCGCTCCCGTGTGCCACGGGACGTGCACCTCTCCCCACAACCCGGCCCAGGCCTCCTCGGTGTTGCCTCCCTCTTGCGCGGGCACGCAGAGGCAGCATGAAGAAGGCCGTGAGACAAACACACGCAGGGAGCCTCCGCCGCAGCACGCGGCGACATGTGCCTCCAGAGCTTCCACAGACTTGCTCCCACACAGTCCCCTCCGCCTCCCCCGCCCACCCACTCGCAGCTGCCAACCTGGCAGAGCCCAGAGCACGGCAGTCTCCCCCCAAAACCAAGTGACCCCGGCATCCGGTACCCCTTTGTGCTTGCCCGCAGCCATCTTCTCCCGACGCTTGGCTTCGAACCCTCCATCCACTTCCCCTTCTCCCAAACGGGCAAAGACCACCTGGGGGGGGGGGTTAATGGAAGCCACCCCCTCTCCTCTCCCCTCCCCTCCCCCTCCCCTCCAATAGGCCTCTGTCCCTTCTCACACCCAAGAATTAAATACTTCTGCCTGTGTTTAAAATGAATGCATAGTTTCTGGGGAGTGGTGGTGGGTTCTTCTTGAGAGGGGGAGGCGATGGATTTGTGCCTAGGGGAGGAGTTGGGAGTCTGGACTCCCGGCTCCTTCGGGACAGGGGGTTGGCCAGGGCCCCCTTGGCTCAGGTGGCATGAGGCTCCGGTGGGGGGATGGGGACACACTGACGGCCGGAGTTCTGTCCCAGTCTTCAACTGGGCCCCTGTCGGAAGGTGGGTTGAGCTTCTCCTTCGCTGGGGTGGGGGGGGGGGGGGCCGAGGCCAGAGAGGCACATTAAGTATGCGCATTTCCCAGGGTCCCTTGCTTCCAGTTTGCCTGGGCGTTGTAGTCATAAAAATTTGAAGAGGCGAAGATTAAAATGTACCAGGGAAGCCCGGTGCCAAGGAAGCATGGCGTAATGGCCCGCCGGGCAGACACAAAGCTGATACAGCAGGGAGCGGTATTTGCCGGGGGGGGGGATGGGGGGGAGGCCAGCGTCAGCAAAAGAGATGGACCTCGGGCAAGGCGGAGCAGTTCTGGCCCTCCGCAGATACAAACCCCCCCCCTCGCTCTCTCCTGCCTGCCTGCCTGCCTGCCTGCCCTGGTTGAAATATTAACATGCACGGTGTGTTAATCTTCCAGTCTTGTAGAGCAGATGGAAACCCAGGGGAGAATCGGCATAAAAATAAAACATCACGGGGAGGGCCGCCTCCCAAAGACTTGATGCGTTTCCCATTCCCAAACGGCGTCCTACAAGGAAAGTTTAGGACCCACGAAAGCCGCCACCACCACCACCCCCCAGCCCTTCGGAAGTCTCCTTTAGGTGGCTTTCTGAATAAAGCATTCCGTTTTTAGACATACAAAATATTCAGCGACTCTTGTGTGGATTTTAGCAGTTGGGGTTTTTTAGAAGACAAAGCTAGCTTCTAGATCTTATTGGGGGGGGGGAGACATCCAAATTTGCAGTACTGAATATATTTCCTCTTTCCCGTGTAACGATTCCTGCCCCGTACAAAGCTACCCTGTTGGGTTTCTTTTGGAGGGGAAGGGTTCAGTGTAAGACCCTTAGCTGATCGTGCCCCTGGAATGAATCACTTCCGAGGCGAGATGACAGACAGATGGCTGGTTTCTGTGAGAAGCCTTGTACTTCTCTTAAAGCGGGTCTCTAGTCCCTGTGGAGGAGGGCTGATAGGTCTCCCTTTTAACAACTCGTCTATTTAGGATCCCCTGGGATAAAGGGGGGGGGGTTGAATTCAAATTAAACAGCAGTAATAGTCAATTATTAAAAGCCTTTGGAGTTCACTCCTAGAGAGAAACTCATCAACTGCAAAGTGTAGCCCCTCCCCCTCCCCAAATCTTTCCTCCGCTTATTGCAATCTTTAAATCTCTTTTCCTGCTGTTTTGTGCACTGGAGCCAGAGATTTACACAAACGTTCGTTCCCTTTCCGGGCGAAACTGGAGTTTGCATCCCCTGAAGGCCAAACCCTCTGGCTCTTCACAACTCCCCCCTCCCCTGCAAAGTTCCCCCCACCCCATCTTTGCTGTGTTCCCCTCTCGTCACGAGGGATCCGGGCACAGCTAATATGGGAAGGCGCCGGTGCACCCAGAGCATCCTGAACTATGGCGATACCCACGTTGCCACGGTAACCTTCTCCCCCAGAGGCACCGATGCTGTTTCCATGGCATTGCCGTGGTTACCGTTGTCGGGCGGATGGTGGAGGTGGGGGAACAATTCTTCCGGAAAAAGAGAAAGAATAAAAGGGGAGGGGGGGGGACAGGTTGGCTGCCACTTGGGCAAGAAATTGTGTTTTTAACACCCCTGAAGAGAAGGCATCGATATCGCCAGAAGGGTTTATTATTTTTTATTTATTTATTTGCAAGTCTCCTTCTAAAAGCACAGTGCCCCCTACTGTTGAAGTTTAAGATGGCAGCTTGCAAAGGCCGGGTTGGATTCCCCCTCCTTGCTGGTATTGGGTGACCTTAATTTCACCCCGCTGATTGGTCGGACCCATCTGTAATTCGCATCCGTGGCCTCCTTTTCCTGCCCTGTCTGTGCATTCCAAGGAGGGGAGATTGATGGTAGGGGACAGATTCGAAGCCTGTGTCTTCTAAGCCGGTTCCCTTGTCCCTCTCCGTGTTCGAGGGCATCGGCTTGGCCTTCCGGGGGTCTCCGCACAAGGTCTGATATCCTTGGGGGGGGGGGGGGGGGTGGTGGAGGCTTTGCTCAGCCTTGGGTTTGCATCCTGCCGCAAGCAAGGGGGCACGACCCCCCCCTCCCAGGGTCTCCTGCACAAGCCCTGCTGCTACGCGCCACGTTGAAATCTTCTGATGACCCCTTTTGGAATCCACGTTCCTGGATGGGCAGGAATGTCTTGTGGGCCTCGAAGCCTAACATGCTCGGCTGGTGTTAAACTTCCAGAGGTGCGGCCATCTTGGAGGGGTGTCCTCCAAGAGAACATTGGCAGGGGGGGCTGGAAGGGGACAGCCTCAGCGTGTGTCTCCCCCCCCCAGTGCTTTGGCTCCCGAGGAAGAGGGGCAGGAGTTATTTTGGCTGCCTCCTTGCCCTCTGGGGCCCAGCTCTGCCTCGCGCATGGAAACGATGCTGCCTTGGGATTGGTGTGCCACATAAAAACTTCTCTCTCTCTCTCTCTCTCTCTCTCTCTCTCTTTCTCTCTCTCTCTCTTTCTCTTTGTCCTCTCTCTCTCTCTCTCTCTCTCTCTCTTTCTCTCTATTTTTTTCCTCCTAGGCCAATTCTCCACCAGTGATAGTCAACACAGATACCTTAGAAGCACCCGCTTACGTGAGTGACTCGGAAATTCAGTCCCCACCGTCCTATCCGTGCCCTTCGCTGTCTTTCCTTCCTCCAAAGGTCGGCTTTCTCCTCTACTTGGCCCAACATCTTGCAAAAACGTTTTGCCCAAAAGGCACCGTTTGAATATGATTGTTTGTTGTTGATGTTATTAACCATGCTTCCTCTTCGCGCGGCGCTTTCGTTGTTCAGAGCCCTTCACGTACCCTGTTTTGTTGTAGTAGCGCCAGCCCTGCCGGGTAGGTACATCTGCAGAAGGCATCCCGGGGTTGGGGAACAGGTAGGGCGAGAAAGAGGATTCGTGGCAGAGCGTGGGCGCCTTTCCGATTCGTAGCTCAGCTTAAGAACTTAAGAGACCATAAGAGAAGCCACTGTTGGATCAGGCCAATGGCCCATCCAGCCCAACACTCTGTCACACAGTGGCCAAAAATACCAGGGGGCATCCGGAGGTCCAGCAGTGGGGCCAGGACTCTAGGAGCCCTCCCACTGTTGCCCCCCCCCCCAAGCACCAAGAATACAGAGCATCACTTGCCCCAGACTGAGAGTTCCTATCTATACCTTGTGGCTAATAGCCACTGATGGACCTCTGCTCCATATGCTTATCTAATTCCCTCTTGAAGCCGTCCATGCTTGTAGCTGCCACCACCTCCTGTGGCAGTGAATTCCATGTGTTAATC